TTTAATTTTCTAAGTTTTTATGCATTTTCTATTCAAATAATTATAGAAAATTGTATGTGACTTAAAAAATTCTAAAAAAATTCATGTAAGTTCCTTATGGCCAGAGTAGTCTTAGAAAATACTTTCATAATTTTTTAGAATCAAAATATCCCTGTTTTAAGCAAACCCTAATTTTCTTAAAACATTTAATTTAGAGCACACAAAGACTAAGATCACTTGATTTTTATTTTCTACTGTGGCTTATGAGTCAGAGAACTCACCATAAGAAATTCAAGTCATTTGGAGATCATTTAATATTTTTAATTGATTTTTAAAAGCAACCCTCAAATTTGAAACTTAAATGATTTTTAAAAATCAAAATATAACTCCAAAAATTATGAAACTTAGTTTTTTGAGTTCTCTGATATTAGGGGAATTTAATAAAAATAAAAATATATTTAAAATAAAAACCTAATTTTTAAGTTATTTTTAATAAAATGATTTTTAAGGCTTAAAAATAGAATTTTCACCAAAATAATTCTAAAAAATCAAATAAAAATCAGGAAAATACAAAATAAATTTCTTTGTGTTCTTTAAACTTAGAGAGATTTTCCAAAAATAAATAAAATCTATTTTTCAACACTTAAAATATTTTATTTTTATTAAAGTCCCCAAAACTTCAAGTAATTTTAGTAAATCTCAAAAAATTCAAAAAATCATGAAATTTTGGCCACATGACTTTCTGGCCTAGGGCTAGCTTAAATAAAAAATTTAAGTGATTAGGAATTGTCCTAATCATCTTTTGGAATTTTCTTTGAAAATGCATATTTTTGCATAAAAATAATTATATGAATTAAATTAAATTGTGAAAATTCACATTTTCACCTCTGATGTCTTAATTGACTTATCAGTAAGGTTACATAAAAATTTTAAAGTCATTTGACTTAAATTTGACAAATTATGAAAGTTTGGACCCTTAGGGGCAAAATTGTAATTTTGGATATTTTGGCCTTAATGAACATTTAGGCTTAATCAAAATGGAAAATGGGTAATTTCTAATATTAATTAACTCATTTGATGATTTGCAATCAAAAATGGGCAAAATTGGTAGAAATCCACTTCACTTTGCCAAATTACAAGATAAAAGAATGATTCTCATAATTATCAAAATTTTGGAAACTTCATTAGCATAAGATGACTTTTGAATTTAGGGGTATAACTTTGGAAATCAATGATTTCACACCCTTATTTGATAATCAAAATGATATTTAAATGATCTTCATAGTGATCACTTAAAGTTTTAAATCTTTTCAAAATCAATACACATGCTTAATATACTCACTTAGGTCTTAAGGACTTAGTGATGAACTTAAGTTGAAATCCACTTGTTAAACGTGGATTAGAAAAATCAACATAAAACATCATAGTTGAGAATTTAGATTTTTTTGAAATAAACTTTAGATTTTTTTTAATTTGTACAGAGAAATAAAAAATATATATTTGTCATAAGAAATTTTCTTGGATGTTATTACTTTTAAAATGTATGAATTGATTGAAAAAATAAGCATAATAGTTGAGAATTCCCCCATTTTATAAAACATCATAAATTTAACATCATTTCAAATTTATCCAATGAATAAGTCTCACTAGCTATATATAACAAACCTTTTCCTAACTCCTTTAACAAGTTTTCTTTATTTTTTAGAAGATATATCAAATTATTTTTATTTAGTTTCTCCTAATTAACTGGACTCAAATAGAATGAAAGCACTAAATTTTTTTTAATAGTTATTAATTGGTCATTCAAGTTAGCTCCATGAGATTAATCACATAACCATCAACATTTGAAAGTTTAACATCGTTATCTCCTAAAATTTTTAATATCATAGCTAAAGATCTTTAGAGACTTAATTTCTAAATTAAGCATGTCGTATTTTTTAAGACACCATTAATTTTTATTTCTTTATTCTTCTATATGAATCCATTCTTGCATAATACCTCTCATTAATCAAACTATTAAAAAAAGTTATTTTAGTATTTTGATCCTGAACATGATTGACATCAAGTATTTTTCTCTTCTTTGACATAGAATACTTAGAGTTCAAAATCATTGGAGTTACCTCTTATGCTTTCTACTTTGACATAAAAATTAAGTAGCCTTATTAGTATGTTGTTATTTTTTCTAAATGTGTGCCAAAATCACTGAATTCAAATAATGTTCAAATCAAATAAAAAAAAGGATACAAAATAAATCCATTTTCTCATAAAAACAAATGTCCATTCAACTAATTTATAATTCATCTTCAATTCTCCCTTTAAAGTTTTTTTCATTGATTCTAGTTCTTAATTTACTTTTATTTGCTAAACAATAAAATGACTGAAGGATTTGTTGATGAACTTCAAAAAACCTAATTTATATTTTCACCCATGTATACTCTAGTGTTCATGATCATAACTTCTCATTTAAGAAGATTCCTTTAAGCTTAAAAAAATGTAGAATGATATAAAGAACAATTAATAAGAAAGATTAATCATTGACAAAGGCACAAATCATTAAAGAAGATGAACAGTGATATAAAACCATTTTGAAATTTATTTATCTAAACATTTTAAAAGTAAAGAGGACAAGCAATTAAATGAAAATTTAGTATTGATGGGTATATCATGACGGTTTAACATTATAAAATGCTCTTATTGGACATATTCTAAACTAAACCTCATATTTTACCTATCTAACATCAAATTTACTTAGACACCTTCTTTTCCATTTACATATCTTGTTAGGAAGTTACATTTACTGGGATGAATCATAAGAAGTGAACATACACTTCAAGTCAATCATTTAGGTTCCTATTCATCATTTCTACTAGGATGTCATCTCATTTAATGATAGCAATAGCTCAATTGATAAAGCTTAGAATAATTTATACCTAGAACTATGCAAGGTAAATTACTGTGGATCCCATTTTCTTAAATTTATATTCTATAGATATTTATATAGTATTAAGAAAACTACTCTTCTCTTTGCACTATAGACTTATGACACATCAACAAACTACTATGAATCTATGTGTCTTTATCTTATTATGTTGCTTCTCTTTGTATCTCTATTTAGTTCCGTAGATATTTATATAGTATTAAGAAAACTACTCTTATCTTTGCACTATAGACTTATGACACATCTTATTATGTTGCTTCTCTTTGTATCTCTATTTATTTGTAGTTTGAATTCCATATTTATAGTTTGAATTCCATACTTTTTTTATTGAAGTTGAAAACATTTTTAAATCTATCTTACAAAGTTGTAAGAAAATCAACTTGTTTAAACATATACTTTGAGTGAAAATAAAATTAAAAATAAATGAATGATAACTTTTATGATATGTGGATGGTTGAATGAAAGCAGGACTACAAAATGCTTTCAATTTCACCTAAAGCTTTATGTTATACATGAACAACCGATATTTATTTTCTATTTGTGAATAAACTCGTGGCAGGGACAAGGGTAAGGGGGGAGGAACCGGTTCGAGTTAGATCATACATATTCCTAAACTATCTATTGGGGCTAACCAATCCAGTAGATGCTGATTTAGTCTTATGGAACATGTTGCTTTTTATTTAATTCGAATAGTATGGGTTCATATGAGCGTTAAATTTGGTTAACTAGTGTATTCTCCTCTCGTCATCACACTTGTAGTCATAATCTTTTAGATATAATTTGGGAAGGCTTAATGCCTTTTTATTTTTTTTCACTTAGAAATTATTTTTTTATCACAATTTTAATGATGTCAAATAACTTTATAAGTTAAGGGCTTGAGACATCAATAAAAAAATTGTCAACAAATATCCATAATTTTGAGTAGTGTATATCTATCATAAAAATATTTAAAAAATTATTTCAAACCAAGCTTTATGCTTTCCTTCTATTGTTAAAAAGGTTATTTTCTTGATTTTAATATCATTTATATTTTTCAAAAATAACTATTTATATTTTCTAAGAGAAAATTTTAATAAAAAGTATATCCACTAAAAATAGCTGAAGCAAACAAAGCTAGTCACGCCTAGATATCGGATCCATGAATTGACCAAGATGGGTTGGTTTGTGTTCTCTGATTCGGACGGTCCAGGTTGATTGCCTTTCGCAAGCCTACCAAGGGGCGAGTCCCGGAGCAAACAGCGGGCACTCTCTCCACCTTTCTCCAATTGCAGCGCGTGCCGGGGCCTTTCATGTCCTGTTCTTTCCTTTGGTAACTTTTCGTTACAGAAGGCAAAAACCCTCTCTGATCCGACCACAAAGGCGTGAAACAAGGCTTTTTCTCTGCAGTAGAAGCTTCGGAATCTGGTGTTTCTTCTCTCCTCCGCTCCCCAAAACTCCGTTAAAATACTTTCGCGGTATTCCATCATCCTGACTCTCTTCATCTTTCATGCCATTAAGGGGTAGGTGTTTTTGACATTTTATTGGGAAAAAAACTGTATTGGATACTCTTTCGTGCTTCTCGAGCAAGAGATTTTCGCTTGATATGGTTAATTATGTGTTGGGGAAGTGAGGGAAAGGCGATGCTTTCATTAGGTTTCTTCTTTTCATCGTATGAGCGATTGATGGGTGTTGTAATGTTCGAGTTAACACTCGGAATTATAGTTTTCTTGAAGGAATTGCCTTGACTCATTTTTAAGTTCTAAATTAAGGTGGTTAATAGCCACGATTCTACTGATAGCATTATTGCCTTTCATTTTGATCTATGGCTTTGTTTTGTTGGGATGTTGCTGTTGGCAAAGTAGGTCATGAAGCTGTTTCAGGGGAAGCCCTTCGAAGAGTTACCGTGGGTGTAGCTCCTTCTGCTGTTTGATGAAATTTGTGGTGTAGATGTTCTATATAAATAAGAATTTGTCTTTCTTTTTTCTTGTGCTGCTGCATGATGAGGAGGGCTGTACTTGAGCCAATGGTCTTGTGAGACACCTTGAGCTTATTAGTGCGATCAGCCACTCTTGTGGTGAGCTATACTAGTCAATGAGCCAACTTCTAACCAGTCATGACTTGACTCGTCTGCTTATTAGTTAGCTCATTTGAAAATATGAGTGCACAACACACTTAAAAAATTGTGACTCTTGGGTAATTTAAATTATTTTAAAAACTTAAAAATTCAATTTTTCTTATTCTAATGTTCTTATTCTCTACTAATTTTTAATTATTTCGCCCCATTTTTATTATTCTTTCAATGATTCCATTGTTGCAACTTCTTAAGAGTCGCATTCATTTTCGCTCTTTAATAAGATTTGAAAACTCAAACTCATCGAATTGAGTTTGATTGAAAATCAATACTAGATTTGGTTTATTCAATTTTGACTTGATTAATTACATCCTTAATGTTAGATGACCTCAATGCCCTTATTTGTCTAATTATGATATCCTTGTTGAGTATAATGTATTCCTAAATAGTCCCGGTCATTTATTAATTTGTTTAATTTTCTTTGGGAATCTTTATTAAGCACCAAATTGACAGCTTGATTATTGATTAGTTACTAACTATTCATGTTAACAATATTTTAATCACTATTACACTTTTAATCAGCTTAGTCAAAATAAGATAATAGTTGATTAGTCTTATCTAAGCACAAATTAGCATATTAAACCCATTTATCCTTAACTAAGTTTCAGGTTAACATTTCTATATTACTAATTATTTTAGTTATAAAATTTGATTAGTTCCTTAATTTAATTATACTAAGTAACTGAAATATAATTAATCCCTACAGAACAAAGCCTTAGATAAAAAATGAAGGCAGTAATGCCATAGTAGAATTATGGCTATTAACCACACTACTTTAAAACTTAGAAATGAAGTACAAGGCAATTTCTTTAAGGAAACTATAATTCCAAGTGTTAAACTCGAACATCACAACACCCATCAATCCGCTCATACGATAAAAAGAAGAAACCTAATGAAAGCATCACCTTCCCCCTCACTTACCCAACACATAATTGACCATATCAAGCCAAAATCTCTTGCTCGAGAAGCACGAAAGAGAATCCAATACAGATTTTTCCCCAAAAAAATGTCAACAATTCCTACTCTTAAAATAAGTATATTTAATGCCTAATTAGTAAAAGTAAATGCCAAATGGCATAATAAATCCAAAGTTTAGTTTATTATCACTAAAATGATGTTTAACTAGTTATATTTGACCGACCGAAGCAAATTTAATTGGACTAATTGAAGTCTAATTTATATGAAATTAGTTACATTTTCATATCAGTTAAAATAATTAAATCCTATTTAGTCTTAATTTGGATGTATGACCTAATTTTAAAATAGCACTGTACTATACTTGCACCAACTTGGCTCCTTCATGACCACAACGAACTTACTCATATCATAGCTTTTCTAACTTCATAAGATTAGTGGTGACTTTTATTCTAGACCAAACAATATAACACAACTAAACAAGATCATCAAATAAGTTTTACGTGATTACCTATTGGCTTCTTTTAAAATTGGGAACTATTGATAACGATTGCTTAATAATGATGCAGTAACAATCATGTACATGAAACTTAACATTAAATTATTGTGTTAGAGATGCTTTCATTTTTTTTTGTATCTTGGAGCATAATGTGACCATCTGAATCATTTATATACCTTTTTTTTCTTACAATTTTTTTCATATAGCAATCTTTTGAAGCTAAGGCTTCATTAGTCCGTCTCCGGCTTGGCAAATGTTAAAATTAGATTGGAGTTTAGATCCTAAATTACGAAAAAATAGGAGCTTTTACTTGAGTGCATGCTTTTTACATTATCACTTGAGCTTAAATTATGATATCATGATGAAGTATTTTCAATTTTATCTGCTATACCTGTTATTAAATATTTGTTCTCATTTTATTTGAGTAATACTTGTGTTGCGCTCTCTTCTTGACATTAGCTAAAATTTGATAATTACAATTTTTTCAGTTTCTTGGTCTTATAACAAACATAATGAGTTTGCTACTTGGATGTTTATTTAAACGTGCATCAGCCTACATATGACCAATTGTGTTGGAATGCCATGGATTGAAAGTTTCCATACTTTTCTTGGCCAAACAAAAGTCTTTACAAAAGTTAGTAGAAAGATCTCGAAGTGTGAAGCAACACTTCTGATTTTTTTTCTATTGTGCTTAATTTGCTATCATGATTTGTAGTGGCTTGTTCTACACTGAAAGCACATAAAATGCCACAAATTCAATAAAGCACTTCGTGAATGATACTAGATTAGGCTCTGTGAAAATAATTCTTTTTCATGGTTGAAATAATTTTAGGTGGCTGCTCCAATTTTTAAAGTGATCATCAAGTTGTGGACTCTTATCCAATGAAAATTTCGATGATCTTTGCTGTATTTATTTATATTCTTATTGCCAGAAAATTGAAGTTATCACACCTTTTTTTAGAATTGGAATTGTGAGGTTTGGTTTCACTTTTTTATGAACTTTATAATTAAATTGAAGACAATTACACCAAAGCCTAACACTATTAGGATGGAACTGGAATTGAAATTGAGATCTAAAACATTTATTTTATAGTTAATTTTAAATTTTTTTATTGGCATGTATTTTTTAAGTAAAAGCTTTGAATTGTTTCTTCGACGCCTCAAACGAGTTCTAGGGTACATTCAATCTTGATTCCTAACATTGTAGCTGTGGCGTATTTTCTTATCATGACATGGTTTTTAGTTTCACTTGTTTATGATATTTTAGGATTCTCCTTCAATTTAATATTCTTTTAAAAAACAATGGCCAATGTTTCCATGTTCAAGCAAGCTATTTAATGTGCTGCATTTGCTAGTGCTAAGTGGATTTTCCTTAGACAACATCTATAAACTGAATGTTTTGTTGTTGTGTGAAGTTTATGAAAGTGCATGAGTTGAGAAATTGAGAAATCTGCTTTGATTACAATTTTATGTAAAAAAAGCAAAGTAGAATTGAATGTGAAAGAAAGAGGAGTTCAATACCATGAAAAAAAAAAAGTTATTCTGTCAATGAACAGATTGGGATTGCTCTCTCATAACAAGTGACGATCTACTCTCAAAAAGAATGCTCACATATTACATTGCAGAATTACTTACCCTAAGCCCCAAAAGAATAAGTTGCTCAATGGAATTTGGGCTTACCCATACAATGGGGAGTTACTTTCCCAAATAAGAGGAATTTCTAACTCTCTTATATTCTCTTCTCAAACCCATCCAAATCCATGATTTGACAACCTATGGTATCAGTGGTATGGATAATAACATAATATAGCCATCAATCAATGTCAAAGGAGAAGCTAATGAGTTAATTCCACCAAGAGGGTCTCAGTGATAAAGAATCGTATTTATTCAATATTAAATAACATAATTATTTAGATAAAATCATTAGTTGCTTCAACATTATTTTTAGATTTTAAACATTTGAATAAGATGAATAGAAGATGAGCAAATGCTTATAGAAGACGAGAACAACAAATAGAAATGTACAAATTTCTAATTGTTAATTTTAATTTTTTTTTTAGTGGCTCTTTCATGTATTATTTGAATATTAATCTGTTAATGATAATTAGAATAATAGAGAATTGATTTCCACTGTCCGACCTTCCGTTCCTGTCTTGGTTAACTCTAAGCCCCAGGCCGAGTCGTGACAAGATCAACCATTTTCTCTCGAATCTAACATCACTTGACCCTAAAGTAATAATCGGGTTTGAGTTGAGGCAGGCTCATTCTACTTAACTTTTTTTCGTCTAGCATACTTTTTCTTTTTTGTTTAGTAAATGATCTCTAATGTCAATGTATTTACTATTTTAGTTGTTCGCTTTCTCTCTTTTACTTTTCTGCCTTCATTAAAAGTTTAATTATTGCCTGTGTATTTTTCTTGGCTATTTACAAATTTACTTGCTTCATATAAGAATGGCTATAACTTTACTCAAATATAAGGCGCTGAACATATTTTATCTTATGTAACAGGCATCTCCAATGTCCATGAAGATTTTCTGTTAGCAGAGGAGGAAGAGGAATGGAGGCTGCTTTTAGCACGCAGATATTAGCTGAGAAGCTATCTAAACTCAATAATTCTCAACAAAGCATTGAATGTATCCCTTACTGAATTTGCTTCATATTTGTATTGCTGTTGTTGATTTATAATGTAACATCTTTCTGGTTTTTATAGGATACTTTGATGTGATTTAGTTTTGTTTTGCTTTCTCCTAAATCTTGAGTGGATCATATTTACTATTTGATGATGTTACATCCGATTAACTCTATCCTTGTCAACATTTTGTGTTTTCTTTTAAATATTGACAGATAAAGTTAAGTAAGTGGAATGATTTTAGTTATAAATATATTTCTTGCATTTTCATTATAGAGTAGTCAATGTTAGTACCTTTTTATGGTGATTGAGAACTCAAGCAACATCTGTTGACTGCCATTAAATGCATTGCCTGTGTTGTGGGCAGCGATTAATTATAGTTATTATTGTTTAGGCTGTTGTAGGAGCATGCTTTTTCACTTTTTTATTTTCATCATTGTATTCTTCTTCCCTCTACCTATCTCTTCCTTTTTGACTATACTTCTTTCCCATTTTTACAACTCTCATTTTTTTGTCTTTAGCGAAGATGAGCTGTGAGCAATCATTCAAGTTACCTTTAGTATAATCTAGAAGTCCCTGATTTGAGCCAAGAAGTAGACTCTGAGCAATTGCAATGTTATGGCTAAGTACAACAATCTCTTCATCGACCATGCATTGGTGTGATTACATGCCATGGGCATGCCCTATTTTATTTGCTTTTCCCCATGTGCATACTTTTGCCAACCTCTTGTTACTTTGTCACAACTTAACGAGCTTGGTAGACTCTCTTCAAACATTGAAGGCACCACTGTTTTTTTAGGAACAAAGAATTTTATGAGCTAAATTTTACTTTTACCTTTCTACTCTTATAATGTCACACTTTATTCAATTGATTGCAATTGTACTTAATGAAGCTTTGAGAATTGTTAAATGGCTAGAAAATTATGGGTAAAGGCAATCAGAAGAATGAAGAAGATAAAGATAAATCATTAGGACATTGGGGATCTAGAAGAACATGGAATAGTAGGAAGAAGCTAGGAAGACATGAACATTGAGGATAAAGAAGAAAAAGAGAGAATGCTCTGAGATAAATTGAAATAGTAAAAAAGAATATGGTAAAGAAAAAAATAATGAGCAATTAAGAGCATGGAAAATAGGATGAGAAAACTTTGATGGATTCGCTTTTGCTGTCTGCTAAAGATCATGAGCTATTATTGCTTCAGATGCCTTATAAGCGTTATAGAGATTCTAAATGATACTATTGTTTTCATGGTATTATCTAAAAATTTTTAAATGTTAAAGATTTTTTTTTCTCTTATGAAAAAACTTATTTGTTAGAATTTTGATAGCTAAGGTCATCTTTATTTCAATAATTTTGTGAATTTTGAAGGTGTAAAAATTTGAAGGAGATATGTGTGAGAGCTTCAAGAGAAGTGGTGCAACTAGCTCTCTTTTTTTTTAGTTATATAAAATAAGTGGTTTAAGTGGAGGGTCGTGTTAGATAGTCGACAGCCAACGTAAAACTTGTCAAAAAAATCATGACATGAATCATTTTGTCAGAAGGCCTTCATTTGGTGCTAGGGCGTCCTCTGGAAGCGAGACGCTGCATAGCCTAAATACAGTGAAAAGTGTGCAAGGGCCGCTACACCGGCGCCCGGGTGTAGTGTTAAATAAGCAAAGGTTCCCACATTACGGGCGAATGCGAGTAAAGAAGTTAGTCCATGAAACTAATGAAACTAATATGAGGATAGGATCTTGGAATATAGACATTCTCAATGGTAAAGTAATGGAATTAGTTGATATTAGGATTCATAGGAAAATTAATATCTTATGTATTCAAGAAATTAAGTGGGTTGGAGAAAATGCTAAGGAGTTTGATAATTTAGGTTTTAAACTTTGGTACTCTGGTAAGAGTCGCACTAAAAATGGTGTAGGTGTTATTATAGATAAGAGTTTGAAAGATAATGTTGTAAAAATTAATAGAGTTGGTGATAGAATTATAGCCCTTAAGATTATCATTGATACTAAGATTTTTAATATTATAAGTGTTTATGCTCCTCAAGTAGGTTTAGATACAGAGTCTAAAGATAAATTTTGGAATAACTTAGAAGACTTAATACAAATAAATGATACCTCTTAATACAAATGATACCTCTTGAAGAAAGAATTTTTATTGGAGGAGATTTAAATGGACATGTCGGTAGAGTGGTAGAAGATTTCAGAAAAAAATATTCATGCTACGGTTTTGGAGTAACTAATGAAGAAGGTAAAGTTATTTTAGATTTTGCTTTAGCGTTTGATTTTGTTATTACTAATACTTTATTCAAGAAAAGGGATGAACATCTTATTACTTATAAGAGTGGATCTAATAAAACACAAATTGATTATTTTCTTATGAGAAGAAGGGATCATTGTGATTGTAAAGATTGGAAAGTCATTCCAAGTGAAGATTTAAATACCCAACATCGTTTATTAGTTTTAGATTTTAAGATTAAAAGTTGTAAAATAAAAAATACTAGGACTCATCATTGCAGAATTAGATGGAGAAACTTAAAAGATACAAATAAAATTAATTTTATGAGTAAAATTCAAGATTTCAAAATTTGGGATATTCATGAAAAATCAAATGTGATGTGGGATAAAGTAACAAACGCTATTAAACATGTAGCAAAAAATGTTCTTGGAGAATCAAAGGGAAAAATATTTACAAATAAAAATAGTTGGTGGTGGAATAATAATGTGCAAGAAAAGATAAAATATAAGAAGTTATGTTATAAAAATTGGTTAAAATGTAAAAGCTTAGAAAACTGGAAAAAATATCAAACGGCCCGCAGGGAGTCTAA